AGAGACAGCATGGGAAGCAGAACAGGTAGATGTACTGAAATACACTGCTGAGGGGAGGCAGAAGAGGTCTGCAGTGCCATGTGGGTTAATTCCCTGGCAAGAAATCAAACTCATGCCACAGTGGCTGGGGATAGCTTGACAGTGCTGAGAGTTTAACCCCTCTGCCATCGGAGAGACCTTGAGTTTCATTATTATTGGGCCAATTCAAAAGACCTGGATAAAGAAGTGTGATCCATACCTCTAAGTCATAAACAGTGTTATAAATCCATATTATCTCAATACAAAGAAAGAAAGACTTGGATATTTACATCATTATACTTCCTAGGTATTATAACTTGGTTTCCATTCATCTGATTATGTATAAAAAAGTTTCTATAAAATGATCTCTTTTAGTCTGTGTAAAATTCCAGGGGTATCCCAAAGGAATGGGATTCTTCCTAGATAGAAGTGTAATTATGTAAATATTTCAATGACAACTTAATTTACTTTAGCCCAGACAAGCCTTTATTCATAATCTTCTATCTTTACGTCTTCTCTAAGTCAGTACTCAGAAAAATATATAAATTCTAGGTCAGATTACAATAATCTTATCAACATGAAGACCTGGATGATTCTCAATAGTGTGTTTCCATCTTCAAATGGTAACTCTTGGAAAACATTAGGAACATTCAGCAGTTCCTGCTCCATTTTTTCATTACCTTGTTGATATATTAAAGAAAGGCAGACATAACAGTACTATTTATAAATCTTAAGTTCCCACTTGCTATCTGACAAAGAAAGGGAGATATTGTTTCCTTTGGGACTGAGACAGCAGCCACCTAAGAGTTCAAGAATCTGGTCACTTCTTTTTTGATCCTGGGACCTCCACACCCCTTTATCAAGTACTTGCTGCTATCAGTGTGATTGACATCCCTCCTCTGACCACACTAACTCCTTAGGGAAGTAATACCTGTCATTATGTCCATTGTGGAGGCTCCCAAACTCAAAGATGTGAACAATGCCGACTGAAAACATTCTAGAGCTCTTGGTCCCAATATTTCAACTCAGAATCTCTTATATGACCAGCCTATAAAGTTCCTAGGGTTCCTTCTTAAAATTGCATATGTCAACAGGGAGGGATATCTGCAGGAAGGATGCTGCTGAGTAGGAGAGAAAGGACGCCCAGGAAATGACTAGCTAAGTGTGTGCCCTTGAGGATAGAATGGATGCATTCAATAGTAAAGATTTAATCAAAGAATTTGACTGCTTTATTTAAACAAAAGCAAATCTTTCTTTAATGCCCAGCTATTTCTAAACTACTTTCAGGTGTATGTTCATGCATACACACATATTTTGATTTTTGTATGAACTACCAAATACCTTCAAGCCATTGAGTAATCGTTTTTTACTCTAAATACTTTTAGTGGTTTGTAATATTTTCCACTTTGTCAGGAGTTTCACCAGGAGCTAACATGCAAGTAGGAACAAGTTATGGAACGTGCCACACCTGCCTAACAAAAAAAAAAAAAAAAAAAAAAGTGGCTCCTTAATGCAGGAATAAAGCTGGCTATCTAAGAGACAGCATCTGAAAAGCTTGTTGGGATCAGTGTGATGCATAACACAGAAACTTCCAGCTCTACTCCTCATGTCTGCATAAGAGTTACTTTTAGAGTGACTTTTAAAAACACACTCTTAATACTGTTAAGTCTCTGGTTAAGACAGTATTGTGGTTACCCCGAAAAAGAATATTCCTCGAAAGGTTTGGGACAGAATGGGAGTATTCTTGTCTCATTCGTCTCGGTGACGATTCTCTTTTCTTAGCTATTTTAAGAATGGTTAACACTCAGGAAATGAAGATGACCTAGTTTTGAGGATGATATAGAACATGTCACTCCTTTAGAAAAGGAAAATATAATTTGAAAAGTAACCATTGAACATTACTAGCAATGTCCACATTAATGCTTTGAGACACAACAAGCACTTCTAAAAATCTCCTTGTATATGTGCTACAGAAGTATATGTGCTACAGAAGTGAGCACTGAAACTCTCTTTAGAAGGACTGAAACATTCAACGTTTTGACACACCCTCCATATGGTCGGCACTATCTAGGCTCTAGGCATATATTGCACAGCTGTGAACCCGGTTCTCTTACAATGCACATTCTACTGTGGAAATATAAGCAAGAAACTAAGGAAGACATATAATGTCTAAGAAAAAATAAACCAGGCTAAGAGAATGGTGACTCATAGGGATGCTAATTTATGAGGATCATGAAGTTAGTAGGTATTATGTGAATTGAATCCTGAGTGGAGAAAATCAGACATGTGACAATATGGTGGAAGAATATTCTAGCTAGTGGGAACAGCAAGTAGAAACATGTTTGGCATATTTGAAGAACATCAGGAAGGCCAGTGTGGTTGGTAGAGGGATGGAATGTTGGGTCATAACCCAGGCATCCCCTGGGTGTAATCTGAAAATGGCCCTATTGAGCAGAGGTGGGGAGAGATGGAAGAAAGAAGCTATTACCAGAGACATTTTATAGGGGTGGAGTGAGGAATGGCATCAAAAACAGGGTGGGAAAGGTACATGGGAATATGGTGATGACACACAGGTGAATTGGTGGTGGGAAGTCCATGGGGATTACAATCAAGATGGAAAAAGGCACAAAATGAAGAATGATGTAAAAATAAGTTAAAACAAAATACTTAAAGAAAAAAGAAATAAAAAATAATAAATGAACAGGAAATTTACAAGGCCTTGTTTTGGGCTGCCACAAGAGGAAGAGCTCCCTAGATTTTAAGCAACAAAGTAAAAGTCCATGAAGAGAGTGCCACAGTAATCTGGACTCAAAATAATGGCAGCTTGAGCAAACCAGGGTTGTAGCAGTGGAGTAACTAGAAAGTACTCAGCCCTATTTTGAAAGAAGAGCTAGTATATCTGCCTCAGGACCAGAGGTAAAGGACAGATTGGTGGTTGTGGGGTAACCAGGCGAAGAGCCAGCAGGGAAACTGACAAGTCCCCAAGCCCCAAGCCCAATAGAATCTTCAAGCTCTTTCTCTGACCTCTGTCTTTGGGGTCTCTCACAGCTTGTGTTCTTACCTTTTATAGTCATGCTGCTTGTCCTGAGAGTTGTCATTGTAACCCTGGCTTCTAAACCCAGATGTGTGTACATATGCGTGCCTACACTCATACTCCAAGAGTTCACAATCAGGTACACATGCCCTGTGTCCACACTCCCAAACAACATATGCATTAACACGATCAGGGCCGCAGATGTAAAAGTGCCTTATTAATTCATTTACCCTACAGTTGTACAGCTAGAACCTGCCAGCAAGTATTTTGATTCATTGCTTCATATTACACAAATTGCTCCTTGCCTCAAGGAATGTTAGCATTTAACTTTATATCATATGAGTTTTTCTTTTCAAGAAATATATTTGCAGTGTTCTTATGGCAGAGCATGCGTGGTAGGAGTCTGTTTCAGAAACCATTAATGCAGGTGAAAAGTGCCTTATATGAAACATGATGTTTATTAGTCACGATGCTTAATCCTCTGCCAAGTAGTTCAGACATATCAAAGATAGCAATAATACTTAATCTTCATTTCTATCAATAACACATACTATGTCACAATTATTTTGTTAACAAAAAATAAAACATCCTTTGAGTAAGTGTGCATAGCTAGGAAAATTATTCATAGTCAGCAAACTTTGAAAATACCCAATACTTTTTTCTTTTTCTTTGTTTCTTGACCTGGCAGTATTGGCATTCTACTTAATTTTCACCAAACAAGATATTGAGTGGACAGACACTGCATTAGGCATTGCACTAGACAACAAAAATAAATGATCCCTTTTTGTCAGGTAGACAGATAAAAACAATCAAAACTTCTTAGAAAAAGCAGGCGCATTTTTAAAAAGTGCAAATACCTGTTGAAAATTTTGATCGGGTAATATCGTTAGTAGAAACAGCACAACTAGATCTTTGTGGAATTTTTAGGAAAAGGCTTTCTCGGTAGTTTTTAGAAAAGGTATCAGCTTTGGCAGGTGGGGTATGCTCGGCAAGGAAAACACTACACAAGGGTGGAAGCCAGAAAGCCACGTAAGTCAGAGCTCTGCAGACCACACCCAAGCATGATAGGATTGGGTCATTATTACTCAGGGTGGAGGAGGCAATTAGAGGAAAACTGCAAACACTTGCTGAGTAGTTCACAATTGATATCTGAAGAGCAATGAATATGATTAAAGCAAAGCAATTGAGTGGTTAGTTTGTTTGCTGCTGCAGTACACATTATAAACAGGTGCCACAGAAGGCAGAGTTTTACATACATACATCTCTCAGCGTTCATCAGCATATGCCAACAAGTTCATTTAGTGCTTTTAATACATAACTAAATAAAATCAAGACACACTATGAGAAAATTTTGCAAAGAAAATGATCCCGTAGATTATCCAATTAACGGACAAAGACAATGAGGAGGGAGCGGTTTCCCATCTCGTCTCCCCTCCCCGCTTCCACGCTATTGAGCAGTAAACTTTACATCGGGGAAAACTGTTTTAATCGGAAAGATAATGCCTTAAATTACTTAGCACAGAGTCCAGCTTGTAGTAAGCACTCAACAATTTATGATTATTATTTTGATCTTGGACCGCTCTTGCCATTTGGAGTTCTGTCGCCGTTTTCGGAGAACGAATGGGTCGCAGATGGTCTGTGAGGTTCCTGCCAACCCCCTATTCCAAATAGGCATTAAGTATTTGCTGAACAAACGAAGTGGGCTGGTTCTCTACCAGTCCCGGCCGAGCAACCACCGAAGAACCAGCTGGGAGCGAGGATAAGATCACCCCGCCCGTCCCACACGTTGGTGTTTGGGGGTGGAGAACATACTACACGCCCCTCATCCAAGACCAATAGGCAGGGCCGTGCGACAATTCTGTGTTCTCGATCCTAAGCCCCACCCGCCGCCAAGTCCACATTCCTCTCCCACCCGCCCGCGGCCGAATCGTTCTTCCGCGCTGGCAGGGCAGCGCCCACCCCCGCCGACGCCCGGACACGCCCCTTCCGGCCCAAGCTCCGCCCCCGCCCCACCGCGAGCCGGCCTCTCGGTCCACTGTGCTGGCCCGCAGCTGCGTCTACCGCCGCCGCTCTGAGGTCACCGACAGGGCCGGGCTGTGGGGGGGCGGAGGGACGGAGGGAAGATGGCGGCCGAGGCCGGATATTGGCGCCGCCTCCCCCAATCCTGGAGCCGGCGCAGATGAGGCGGCTCGGTTGGGGCCAGCGGCGCTTTGGAACCGGAGCTGGGGGGACCCTGGCGGTGGGGCCTGGCCCTGCTGTATGCCGGCGCCTCGGTTAGAGTGAGCAGCGGCAGAGGCGACGCCTCTTTCCCTGTCGCTGTGAGTCCGAGCCGGTGGCTGGCGGCAGAGGCGGCAGGGCCGGGATGGAGGACGTTAACTCCAATGTGAACGCGGACCAGGAGGTGCGGAAGCTGCAGGAACTGGTGAAGAAGCTGGAGAAGCAGAACGAGCAGCTGAGGAGCCGGTCGGGGGCCGTGCAGGGCGCCGGCCCCCTCGGGCCCGGCAGCCCCGTTCGGGCCGGCACGTCCACTCCCTCCTCAGGCGCGGCGTCCCCTCGGGGCTTCCCCCTGGGCCTCGGCGCCAAGTCCGGCAGCGCGGCCGGGTCCGGCCCGAGGCGGACGAGTAACGAGGAGTTGCGGGACTGCACCTCCTTGCTGGCAGCGGGCGAGGGCGGCTTGCTGGACGAGGTGGAGCCGCTGCGGCCCGAGGAACTGGAGCGCCTGTCAGGCTGGGAAGAGGAGGAGGAGAGCTGGTGAGCGCGGGGCGCCGGCGGGGACTGGGCGGGGACGGGCCCGGGGGCGGAGAGCGTCTTCGGAGGGTCCCGCTGGTAGAGCACCCCGCTTTGTGTAGCCGGATCTGTGCCCCGACGAGGACTCGTGGCTTTCTGGCTTTGGCTACGGAAAGGTCAGCGGGAGTTGGGAATTCTAGGCGCGCCAGAGAACGGGCTTGGTAGCTAGCCCTCTTCTGGTTTGTGGACCCTATTGGGTTTGGACCCCATTGGGGTCTGTGGGTTGGCACGGCCTGGGAAGGGCTGCTCGTCGTGGGAGGAATCGGAGGCAGAAAACTGCTTTGTAGGGAGAGCTCCTGCTTTGTGTGACATGCTGGCTCTCGGGTGGTGGGCATGTTGGGGTTCGGGGACGGATCGGCTTGATGATGCACCATCGGTTGCTGGGAGCAGACTAGAGCTGTCTAAGATCTGTGCGGACCGAGTGTGAGATGTGTACATTTCCGACGGCTTTGGGAAGACCGTGTGAATCAGCACTCCTTGTAGGAATAGGGTAAAAGCTCGCTTTGTGTGAGAGGGCAGAGGATTGGTGCTGCTTTGTGTAAAGAGTCAGGGTGGAACGAGAGCCCTGGTTGTTATTTTTAAACAAGAATGGGTTCTGGCGTCTTTCGGAGCTGTGAAGTGACAGTTATCACACCCATCTTTCATTCCCATGTCATCTTCGGGGCGGAGAGAAAGAGCCCTGTTTAAAAATCCAGTCCAAAGCTGTATTGTCATGAGCCACTTGATGAAATTGTGACCCACCATAATATCATTTCCTTAAATAGAAAGGGCACGGGAGGCGTTTGCCTCATATTTTATTTCAAGTGGCATAAAGCTGTCCATGGGAAATTCTTACTCTTAATTTGTCCTTTTAATGTCTTGATTTGGGGCTAATATATCCTCTAATCTGTTGAAATTGAAACTTCTAAAATAGAGAAATCGAAATCCTTCCTGGACTATAGTATTACCACAGGGCTACAAGTTTACAGTGTGCTGAGGTAGTTAGGAGCTTTGCCTGGATTCGGGCCTCCCTCTCCCACTTACTAGCAACATGACCTTGGGCAAGACTTAAACAAGATGTGGTTATGAGCTTGAGCCTCACTTTTTTTGTTTATTGTATGGAGAACATCATAGTTCTTACTTCTGTTGAGTTGTGAAGATTAAGTGAAAATATCCATGTGCTTCTTTAGCACTGGAACTGACAAAGTAAGTACTCCAAAAGTCGCTACTATCACTCTGAACTCTAGTCATTTAAATCAAAAAGTATTTAATGAACTATTACAAGATCTTGTGGGACATTCTAAAGGTTGTTAAATGTTGATTTCTCTTCATTAAGGCAGTTACAGTCTTATTAGTGGCTAAGTTTTTTGCAATTCAACCAGCTAGGACATACAGTAAAATGTCAAAATGAGTGATAGGACTAACAGTACTGAGGGCCCTTAGAAATTGAGATGAAAACAGTAGGTCCAACTTGGTGAGGGCAAACTTTTAGGAGGAGAGGTGGCTGTGGAATCTGAGGGTGAGGGAATTTAATTCTGTAACTACAGTTAGTGCAGGAAGAGATATTTGTAAACTTCCAATTAGGAAAATTTGAATAATCAAGATGTTTTTACATATGTAATGTCTTTATTTTATTGCTAAGTGATAAGTGATAACAAATATTGGAACTGACTATGCACCAGCTTTTCATATTAGTGTGAAATCACGTCCTCCCAAAGGAATCTTGAGTATGTGCACACTTTAAATGAACCCAGAATCACTTAAATATCACAATGTACCTCTTCCAAGTGATGCTGATGATGCTCATAATAATGAAGATTAGCTGCACTCATCAGCCCATTTTAGATTATGTATTATTGGGATACATTGACTGCACTTGGAGAAGCTGATTCAGGCTTTGCTGCTTGGTTTCTGTGTGTAGGGTTTGCTAAGGGAGGAGACAGTCTTAAGTACTTATATTTTCTGACCAGATAGTTCTTGCTTACAGCTTTTATACTGACTTTGTATCTTGATATTTTAGATGTCCTCAAGGACTTGTGTGAATTGAACATTTGATAAGAAATATTTAAAGTGCTTTGGAATAAGTGTTTATAAGCTGGAAAGAATGAGTATTAGTGGCAGTGGGAAGATAGTCAAGAATTTATTCTTAGTAAGCTAAAAATCTCTGTGACTTGTACCCGTTGTAGTTTTTCCATCTACAAGATTTTCCCTGCTTCTCCCCTTCCCACCCCACCACCATACACACAAACACAGAATGCTAGCCCTGAGGAGTCAGTAAGATTATGTGAAAAATAATGGTGAATCTACAGTAAGTGAATACAGAAAAAAAATTTTTTTTTAATAATTGTGGAATAAAGGAGTTCAACAAAAAGTTATTTTTAATACTGGACTTTTTTGATGTGCTGGTATGTATTGCCTATCAGTCACTCTTCAGTGGTATGGTTTCTTTCCTAAACTTCTTTGTATTCCCAAGATTCTCGTATCCAGAAAATATACTTAGAAAACAGTGCTCTAAAATATAGCAACTTTCAGCATTTGCCCCTTTTTGGACACAGCTTTATGATAAGAAATTATAGCCTAGTATACACATGTATATGAGTAATTGAAACAAGTTTCACCAGTATAGTTACTTTTTGTATGTGTAATTTGCTCTAATATTTTCTATTCTGATTCATTAGAAAATAATGCTAGTTACAACCCACTGTGCTGATTTTGTGACCCTTTCATTAATGTTGTAAACAGTTTAAAAAATACTGTTATAGAACAACTCAGAAAAGTCTATGGATGGGAATGAACATCATTGTGCATTGTAGTGTGCCACTATGCCTGGATGTTTATAAACATTTTGCATTTAATTGCATTTAAATTTAATCCATTTGTCAGGTAAGTATCCTTTTCTAAGTAAGGAAACTTAATCTCCAACCCATCAACTAACACTCAGTGAATGATGGAGTCAGAATTTGAATCCAAGTCTTCGTGACTTCAAAATCTATTCTGTCTCCACTATTTTGCTTTTTCCAAGTATAATCCCTTTTCCACATGAATGACCACCCTTAAAATATTTGGCTCTTTTGGAGGAGTCCTTCTGATTTCATGAACACAGTGAGTGTTCTTGTCTATTTAAATTAAAACAATACTAGTTTATTTAATGGTTCCTCAGGTCATATAATTCTCTGATCCCTCAACCATGGTCTTAATGAATTCTAGTTGTTCAGTATCATCAAACATGGTGCTCTAATCTCTACTCAACAATTTATGTATTTGGCCAGAGTGTGGTTGGTGCTAAGTGCTTTTATTTCATAGCAGTTTTAAACTTTGTTACTTATGCTTAGAATGAGCAAAAATGCCAAATACACTTCTTATCTTTAATACATAAGTTGTTAAACTAAGTCTACCTTTCTTGTTTGGTGTAATGAAAATCTAGCTTAATAAATACTAGGTTTTTAAATTTCATTTTATTAGTCTTAGGCATTTAAATTGTCCTTTCTCAATTTTTTTTTCTGTCATCTTCATATTTGGTAGGATGACCTCCTGGGTCTTCATTTGGTTGGTGACAAAACATTAAAGTGACAGAAAAAGTATGCAGCTCTACTAGATTCTCTCAGATTAACATTAGTCTATTAGTTGATATGCATATCAGTAGCTATTAGTTCCACTTACTATGTTAAGTTCACATGTCATTCTACCTATATTTTGCCAAATGGTTTGCTATAATTAGGTATACAGAGTTCACAGGGTTCTTACATGTAGTGAAGTAAACCTGTCAAAGTAGAAATTGTATTTTAGATTTTATGAAATCACTTCCTTCTCTGACTTCACAAATACTTTGTGTTTAACCCCATTTTGAATTTTGCAAGGAGTGAATTTGGAATTTGTCGACACCATTTTTCTCTTTGGTAACTATCACATTTACTCAGACTTTTCATCCTGCTGTGGTATATTTGATTGGCAGTAGGTCACTGATTTCTTTTCCATCATTTCTTTTCCATCATTTGCTAGAGTGAGACTTAAACCTACCTTCAGCTATATTCTGGCTTATTATCTGTTACCTTGGCCCATTTGAATGTCACTTCTTTTGAAAATTGTTTATTCTACCTGTCTATTTGAACATTCTATTGGCAAAAAAAAAAAAAAAGACATGCATTGTATGTCATCTAAGCAACATTGCCTGTTTTGCTCTTCAGTATTTGAAGCTATCCCTCTTTTGTATGAAGCCCTGAGTGACTTTTTCTTAAGTTTTTCTTCGGAGAGGTGTAATTCACACTATTATAAAATAAATAAAACTCACCCTTTTAAAGCATGCAATCCAGTGGTTTTTAGTATATTCAGAAAGTTATGCAACCATTTCCACTATCTAATTTCAGACCCTGTAATTCATTATTCTCAAGAGAAACTGCAACCCATTTATCAGTCACTTCCCATTTCCTCTCCACTATGCTTTCTGTATCTACAGAATTGTCTGTTCTGGTCATTTCTTATAAATTAAATCATATAATATATGGCTTTTTATATCTGACTTCTTTTACTTGGCATGTTTTCAGGGTTCATCCATGCATGTATCTGGACATCCCCCTTTTTTCTTTCCTTCATATGTGAATATAACCACATTTTGTTTATTCATCGATGATGGGCATTGGGTTGTTTACATCTTTTGGCTACTATGAAAAATGCTGCTATGAACATTTACAAGTTTTCATAAGGGCATGTTTTAATTTTTCTAGAGTAACATAGTGGGATTTACTAGGTCAAGTGGTAAATTCATGTTTAGCTTTTTAAGAAATTGCTCTAAACTTTTCCACAGTGCAGCTTTACCATTTAACATTCCCAAAAAAATATACAAAGGATCCAATTTCTCTACATCCTTGCCAATGCTAGTTACTGTTGGTCTTTTTTCTTTTTTTAAACCATCCTGTTGGTGTGTTCTACTGGTTCTAATTTGCATTTCCCTAATGACATATGATGTTAAGTATCTTTGCATGTGTTTT